CTTTCCTCATCTGACGCTACAAGTAGGGAGTCACCTGCCACAACACAGTCCCTCCCAAACTTGTCCATGAAATCATCCTGCCAGTTTTCTGGGCCAACCCAAACCGTTGTCCTCAAATTCAAGCACGCAGCGAAGACCCGCGGTCTTGAAACTGGGTATCCGAGCTGAAGAGGGGAACACTTGAAATGCAGAACCTGGTGACTGTTCCGCAATGGACTGAGCTTGTCGGCTGCAGGGTACTTGCCAGTACACTCCAAGAACGCTACGTCTTCGTACGACTGCTCACCCCGAACCAAACGCTCAACAACCCAGACATTGCGCGGGAGCTCGGAAGCGTGGCCGAAGCGGGCCTGGTTACCTATCGTAGACCATCCATCGCATGTGACTCCAGCAAAGCTTATCGACCACGGCCTGTCCATCCCTGGCCTTGTCAGGACTGTCTCAGGCAAGACAGCCGAGGACTCTGATCCAGATGCAATGTTACTGCACCCTGGCTCGCTCTGGTCACTCTCAGCAGCATTTTCTGGATGCTTTCGCTTCCTCTCACGCAAGACCTGCAGGTTGCGGACCCAACCCTCTATCGGACAGACAGGGCAGTTTGCATTGTGGACCAAACACCACTGTTTGCACTCAGCACTCAGGGCCCAAGAGCGGTTGCGGATCAGCCATGCTAGCACGCTCTGGTAGGCCTCTTCTGCTGCAGCCTGAGTACTCTGTCGATCAGGCACTGCAGCTCGCAAGTATGCAGCTGCTTGGGGGTGGCAATGGTCTACAATGTCTGAAAACACACACATTCTCGCACCGAACTGTTGCTGAGCAAGACTGGTCAGAACCTGTTGGGGGATGCTGCCGACATCGCACACACGCTTGAAGATGAGGGGCGGAGCAGGGAACTGCCAAGCATGGGTCGCTCCAAGAGCCTTGGAACCACAGCTTAGCGCTTCTATCTCACTGCCATAACCGCTGTAATCTGATGCCACAACAACCTTTGCAAGGAGCATGGCATGCAACCTGCAGACAGCATCCGCTGAGAATGCCTTGGCGACTTGCTGTGGCCACTGGAATACAGCCCTGGCTGCGTCATTTGCCTGAGCTGCCTCTGCAGCAAGCAGACCCCCTTCATCGAGTGTCTCCTCTGACATCGCTCAACAATCTGCCTACTGTCTGGGAAAAACCACGGTTCTGTTCAAAATGCAAAGCTATAGCCTGCTTTGGCAAAATCTGCAGGAAAGCTACCTGCTGCGAGGCTAGGATTGCTGGCTGCTCACATGCCTGAAAAACTCAAACTAACTTGAGAGAACCCTGCTACTCTCGCACACACGCAGACAGTCACACAGAGAACTTGCAGCTTGAAAGTTGCTGTGTGGACAAAAGAAGCACAGCTGGAGAAGGTGACCAGGATGCGCGGAGTCAAGTGGACCCTGTGCAGACAACGACCCAAGTAGAGGACAAGTGACCAGGAAGGAGGGAGACCCAGCTCTTGCCACTGTTGAACCAAGCTTTGCCTTCTCTTCAGCTGCCTTGAGCCTGGTGCCTTGACTGGCCTAGATTACCTTGCCTCGCACCTTCATTTTTTTGACCTGGACCTGGAAGTTTCAACACCGATCTGCAGAGCTTACCATATTGAACTGGGCCTGCTGGACATGTTGTTTGTATGCTCAGGCTTGCGGCTTTGCTCCTGCAAGACTTGAAAACCCTTCTATTGTAGGCTGCTGGCTGCTGCCTCTCCTTCCCTACCTACTGACTGTTACCTACCGACAAGTGAAGATGAAGCACATCAACGTAGTATCGTTTCGAACATGCAACTGTGAAACTAGGAACTGACAGCATGTTTAAGCTGTTGAAGACTGTTTTGATTCATCAGCACTGAGACCGCGTGATGGTTTCACGGTCGACATCACACGCTGCGTGCCTAACTCTCCCTCACTCCCTCTCTCGCTCTTGCAGGCTCAGGACTGTACTACTGTACTGCACTGCTCAGTCATGCCAAACAACACAACAAAGTTCAACAAAGCGACTAAGCGAACACAGCTTGCAAGCAATGGCCGCACCTTGTAAAGTGTAGCTTGTGCTAAGGTTGATTTGGTTGATTTGAGTACATTGTCTGTCTGGCCCTGCTGGTTTGTGGCTTGTGGCTTTGTGGAGGAAGCCAGCCAGGAAGCCAAGCTGCCTGGGCCAGCTGTTGGGCTGGTGCTGGGTGGCCTGGGGAGGGCACCACTGGGCTGCACGGCCTCTGGGGCGCTGTTTGAATAGATTAAACACAAAGGGGCTGGGGGTGCTTCTGGCTTTCCTTAGGCTTTCCATATCCAAAACAGAAACGCAGACAACACAGCCGCAAAGCCACAAAAACACAAATGACACAAAATTGCAGAAAACGCGCCAGAAAAAGCAAAAGCACACAAGAATCAAACACACTTAACACAAACACAACAAGTACAGCAAAAAAACAACGGTTTTTGCATTGGATTGCTTCAATAGCCCACCTCAGCCTCTGACGGGCAAAACCCGCACTCCCCACTCCGGGGAACTCCG